TTTGAGTTCATCTTTTTTAAACATGGGAGACCAGAACTGCACACAGTACTCCAAATGAGGTCCAGTCCTTAACCTACTAGACCATCCCTCCTCTTAACTTTTGGGCAAAGGCATAATAACTGTGGGTAAATGATGACTTAATAGTGACCACTATATACATGAAGTATAAAAATAATGAAAAACTTATCATAATGTCACAATAGCTCAACTAACTTGAGTTCATGTTAAGAAGTTAGCATGATTATTTAACATATTGTTAACTCGAGATTGCTAGGTGCTATTTATCTTGGTGATATGCATTAGTTAAGAGATAGGAGGCCTCCTAGAGACCAGGCCTGAAAATCTCAGACTAAAAGGGGGTTTCTATTTTTTCATTCAAGCAAAAAAAGTATTATCTTCCCGTTACTTTGGCATTCTTAATATCAAGGGATAATGATGAATATCATTATAATAACAGGATTTAACATTTTACTCTAGGAAGGGAAAATATGTGAATTTGTTTGGAAGTCAGAACTGCATCTGATCCATTTCTATTCTTCGTTTGTGTGCATTTGTCAGAGGCGTTGTGTAACATCCTTGCAGGAGATGAAATACTGATGGCAGATACATGTAATAAAAGATCTGAAATTCATTTACGCTTTAATAAAACAACATTGAAAGATGAAATATATCTTCCTGTTCCTTGCTGGCAGGTTGGCTCTCATAATTTTCCATTACACATAATATATGTTACAGGATCATTTTCTAATAACCTTTCCTTGGCTTCACTTTTTGCTTTGGTTTCAAATGTAAGTGGAATGTCTGACATGTTAATACTAACCTGGGACCAAACCCGGGTCCATGCACAGAGCCCGAGTAAACTGGTTGTCTGCAGGGGAAGATTTGGGGAGAATCTTGTCCCCCAAGCCTTAGAATGTCAGTAAACTTTGCAGCAGCTGCTCTGTATATATGGGTAGGATAGGGTAGCATGTGATGTGGCCCATGAATTGATGTGATCATGGATACACTTGGACATACCCGCTTCCTCACTGAGCCATTTTCTCACCATAAAACTTCCTTGTTTGTTATGGCAGATGATTTCTCCCATTGTAAATAGAAGAGTGGCTGCCCAAGTAGGCAACTGAGGACATTTAACCAGTAACATATTTTTTAAGCTATGCTTTAGTGAAAATGCCCATTGCAAATAATAAACTGCTTTCTGTGAGTTCCATTTAGCAACCAGGCTTTAGAGCAATGGGTACTATAGTTACAGCTCTTCCAGTAGAAACTGCAACAGGTCAGTAGCAATCAACAGTGAACAGAGGAAACTGAATGAAGAATTCTAATAGAGTTCATTAATATTTGCACTAGAGCAAGCTATGATAATAAGAGCAGTCAGTGATCAAACCTGATTCTCCAGGATATAAGCTGATGATGTGTAGAAAAGAGAGTTGTTAGTGTGGTCAGAAAATATTTTTTCCATATTAAGCATTTCACATTAGGTAGATGCATTTTCTGCTTCCCTGGAAATATTAGGTATTGGCCATTGTTTGAGATATAAGGATATAAGGATGAGAACCAGCATGGCAATTCTTTTATTTCCAAGGAAAACAAAGCAAATATTAGAGTGTCTTGGATAATACAAACAGATCTGAGTTAAATGCGATCTCATAGACTGTAAGGTCAGAAAGGATGAATTGCACCCTCAGCAAGTTCACAGATGACACTAAGCTGCGGGGAGAAGTAGATACGCTGGAGGGTAGGGACAAATGGGAGGATTGGGCTAAAATAAATCTGATGAGGTTCAACAAGGACAAGTGCAGAGTCCTGAACTTAGGAAGGAAGAATCCCATGCACCGCTACAAGCTGGGGAACAACTGGCTAAGCAGCAGTTCTGCAGAAAAGGACCTGCGGATTACAGTGGATGAGAAGCTGGATATGAGTCAGCAGTGTACCCTTGTTGCCAAGAAGGCCAACTGCATATTGGGCTGTATTAGTTCGAACATTGCCTGCAGATCAAGGGAAGTGATTATTCCCCTCTATTCAGCACTGGTGAGGCCACACCTGGAGTATTGTGTCCAGTTCTGGGGGCCCCACTACAGAAAGGATGTGGACAAATTGGAGAGAGTCCAGCGGAGAGCAATGAAAATGATTAGGGGACTGGGACACATGACTTATGAGGCGAGAATGAGGGAACTGGGGTTATTTAGTCTGCAGAAGAGAAGAATGAGAGGGGGATTTAATAGCACCTTCAACTACCTGAATGGGGGTTCCAAAGAGGATGAAGCTAGGCTGTTCTCAGTGGTGACAGATGACCGAACAATAAGCAATGGTCTCAAGTTGCAGTGGGGGAGGTCTAGGTTGGATATTAGGAAATACTATTTCACTAGGAGGATGGTGAATCACTGGAATGGGTTACCTAGAAAGGTGGTGGAATCTCCATCCTTAGAGGTTTTTAAGGCCCGGCTTGACAAAGCCCTGGCTGGGATGATTTAGTTGGTGTTGGTCCTGCTTTAAGTAGGGGATTGGATTAAATGACCTCCTGAGATCTCTTCCAACCCTAATATTCTATGATTCTATGACCATTGTGATCATCTAGTCTGCCCTCCTGCACATTGCAGGCCACAGAACCTCTCCTCAAGTTAGAGAGAATTCACCACTGACATTAGGTTAAACCTGCAAATGAACCGTACCCCATGCTGCAGAGGAAGGTGACACCTCCCCCAGGATCTCTGCCAATCTGATGTGGGAAAAAATTCCTTCCCGTCCGCAAATATGGTGATCAATTAGACCCTGAGCACATGGGCAAGACCTGCCAGACAGATATCCAGTAGAGAATTATCTATAGTAATTCAGCCCTCCTCATCTAGTGTCCAGTCTCCAGCCACTGGGGACTTTTGCTACTGGCAGTTGCCAATGTGCCAACATGCCATCATAGGCAGTACCATCATACCACCCCCTCCATAAACTTACCAAGCTCAGTCTTGAATCCAGTTAGGATTTTTGCCCCCACTGCTCCCCTTGGAAGGCTGTTCCAGAACTTCGCTCCTCTGATGGTTACAAACCTTTGCCTAATTTCAAGCCTAAAATTGTTGACATCCATTTGTTCTTGTGTGCACATGGGCCCTTAACGTAAATAACTCCTCTTCCATAGTGGGGGTGGAGGGGCAGAAAGCGTTGCTAGGCCACAATGTGGGGAGGAATGTGGCACAACCATGGATGGAAGAGGGGCAGGACCGCAGGCGGAAGGGTTGGGGAGGGCCCCCCACTTGCTGTGTCCTAGGGTCCCAGGAAACCTTGATCCAGCTCTGCTTTTAAGAATACAAATCAATAAACATAAAAACTGTACTTCAAATTGAAGGAGTTATTTTTCATTTCCTGTCCTAAAAAAATGTTAGATACAGCTGCTGTCAAAGTAATCTTGCTGAATTTCATTCCAGAGGCATCTGCGTTTCAGTAGTGGGTTAGGAAATTTCCACACTTCAGACTGTAAAGTGTTCTGGGGTCCATCAGGATGAAAAGTTCTGTATACATAAAGTGCAATTATTCTTTCTTTTTATTATCCTCTTTTTTGACACAGGTCACCAGGGGAGCAGGAATGGCTGTGAAATTTGTTGCTAGGAAATATCCTAACAACATGACTTGCCAATGAGAAAGGAAGTGGAATCCACTTTAGCAAAGAAGAGAATTGTCCAATGAATGACCAACTACAGGTAAACTGAACATTGTCTTCGTTCATATACCCTTAAGATGTACTGATGTTGTATGTCTAGTTAGATATGACATCTCCATCCCACACATCACTGTGTTTACCCAAAGTCTTGATCACTGCAACCATATTTTTTTCTTATTTTCAAGAAGTGAAAAATGATTATGGTGTTGGTGATTTATTCCTGTATTGGGTGTCCAATTGATCCTCAATGTGATATTTTTAGGCATCTCGCTGGGAGCTGAAACAACAAGAGATTGAAGTGCTTAGGATTCATCTGCACAAATCTTGCAAATGTACTCTGTTTTGCTGACAGCGTTCTGTGTTCTGTATCTGGTTGCCAATTGTATCATTAACATGGAACAAAGTGTTTTGGAAAGTTGTCTAATTTTGAGAGGCTGGCTTTGGCAACTCAACGCTGCAGTGAAATGAAGATATTTTCTGTTAGCCTGACATAGAGGCTGCTGCATTCTAATCAAGAGCGTGAGGTAATTCAAAGTCATGTGTGGAGTTTTCAAATCACATGACTTCCTCTGAGATCTGTGGTGGCCTCAGATACGTGCACTGGTATATGCTGTGTCGAGAGAAGTAACACACACATCCCTGGAGAATACGGGAGACTACGAACCAGAATTTCTCAACTTTCATAGAATCATAGAATATCAGGGTTGGAAGGGACCTCAGGAGGTCATCTAGTCCAACCCCCTGCTCAAAGCAGGAGCAATTCCCAACTAAATCATCCCAGCCAGGGCTTTGTCAAGCCTGACTTTAAAAACCTCTAAGGAAGGAGATTCCACCACCTCCCTAGGTAACTCATTCCAGTGCTTCACCACCCTCCTAGTGAAAAAGTTTTTCCTAATATCCACCCTAAATTTCCCCCACTGCAACTTGAGACCATTACTCCTTGTTCTGTCATCTGGTACCACTGAGAACAGTCTAGATCCATCCTCTTTAGAACCCCCTTTCAGGTAGTTGAAAGCAGCTATCAAATCCCCCCTCATTCTTCTCTTCTGCAGACTAAACAATCCCAGTTCCCTCAGCCTCTCCTCATAAGTCATGTGCTCCAACCCCCTAATCACTTTTGTTACCCTCCGCTGGACTCTTTCCAATTTTTCCACATCCTTCTTGTAGTGTGGGGCCCAAAACTGGACACAGTACTCCAGATGAGGCTTCACCAATGTCGAATAGAGGGAAATGATCACGTCCCTCTATCTGCTGGCAATGCCCCTACTTATACAGCCCAAAATGCCGTTAGCCTTCTTGGCAACAAGGGCACACTGTTGACTCATATCCAGCTTCTCGTCCACTGTAACCCCTAGGTCCTTTTCTGCAGAACTGCTTCCTAGCCATTCGGTCCTTAGTCTGTAACAGTGAATGGGATTCTTCTATCCTAAGTGCAGGACTCTGCACTTGTCCTTGTTGAACCTCATCAGGTTTCTTTTGGCACAATGTTCTAATTTGTCTAGGTCTCTCTGTATCCTATCCCTACCCTCCAGCCTATCTACCACTCCTCCCAGTTTAATGTCAAGTGCAAACTTGCTGAGAGTGTAGTCCACGCCATCCTCCAGATCATTAAAGAAGATATTGAACAAAACTGACCCCAAGACCAACCCTGGGGGCACTCCGCTTGAAACCGGCTGCCAAGTAGACATGGAGCCATTGATCACTACCTGCTGAGCCCGACGATACAGCCAGCTTTCTATCCACCTTATAGTCCATTCATCCATCCCATACTTCTTTAACTTGCTGGCAAGAATACCGTGGGACACCATATCAAAAGCTTTGCTAAAGTCAAGGAATAACATATCCACTGCTTTCCCCTCATCCACAGACCCAGTTATCTCCCTCAGAGAAGGTAATTAGGTTAGTCAGGCATGACTTGCCCTTGGTGAATCCATGCTGACTATTCCTGATCACTTTCCTCTCCTCTAAGTGCTTCAGAAGTTGTTTAGTGCTAGATCTGTAGTAACCAACATTACCCATATCTAATGAGAATGGATTTCACTTCTGGAAGGATCCAGTGGACATAGTGTACTTAGATTTCCAGAAAGTCTTTGACAAGGTCCTCACCAAAGGCTCTTATGTACATTAAGTTGTCATGGGATAAGAGGGGAGATCCTTTCATGGACTGAGAACTGGTTAAAAGACAGGGAACAAAGGGTAGGAATTAATGGTAAATTCTCAGAATGGAGAGGGGTAACTAGTGGAGTTCCCCAAGGGTCAGTCCTAGGACCAATCCTATTAAACTTATTCATAAATGATCTGGAGAAAGGGGTAAAAAGTGAGGTGGCAAAGTTTGCAGACGATACTAAACTGCTCGAGATAATTAAGACCGAAGAAGAATGTGAAGAACTTCAAAAAGAACTCACAAAACTAAGTGATTGGGCAACAAAATGGCAAATGAAATTTAATGTAAATAAATGTAAAGTAATGCACATTGGGAAAAATAACCCCAACTATACATACAATATGATGGGGGCTAATTTAGCTACAACTAATCATGAAAAAGTTCTTAGAGTCATCGTGGATAGTTCTCTGAAGACATCCATGCAGTGTGCAGCGGCAGTCAAAAAAGCAAACAGGATGTTAGGAATCATTAAAAAGGGGATAGAGAATAAGGCAGAGAATATCTTATTGCCCTTATATAAATCCATGGTACACCCACATCTTGAATACTGCATACAGATGTGGTCTCCTCATCTCATAAAAGATATATATATACTGGCATTAGAAAAGGTTCAGAGAAGGGCAACTAAAATGATTAGGGGTTTGGAACGGGTCCCATATGAGGAGAGATTAAAGAGGCTAGGACTTTTCAGCTTGGAAAAGAGGAGACTAAGGGGGGATATGATAGAGGTATATAAAATCATGAGTGATGTGGAAAAAGTGAATAAGGAAAACTTATATTCTTGTTCCCATAATATAAGAACTAGGGCCACCAAATGAAATTAATGAACAGCAGGTTTAAAACAAATAAAAGGAAGTTCTTCTTCACACAGTGCACAATAATTTGTGGAATTCCTTGCCTGAGGAGGTTGTGAAGGCTAGGACTATAACAGGGTTTAAAAGAGAACTAGATAAATTCATGGAGGTTAAGTCCATTAATGGCTATTAGCCAGGATGGGTAAGGAATGGGATCCCTAGCATCTGTTGTCAGAGGGTGGTGATGGACAGCAGGAGAGAGATCACTTGATCTCTTGAACTGTTAGGTTCACTCCCTCTGGGGCATGTGGCATTGGCCACTGTCATTAGACAGGATACTGGGCTGGATGGACCTTTGATCTGACCCAGTACAGACATTCTTATGTTCTAACCAGAGTTCTTCATTCAGTAAATATGAATATTATTCAACAAAATTCATGAAAACTTGTATGTAGTTTTTGGGTAAGGTCTGGGGCATGGTATCAAAACAAACCTAATATGATGATTTTAGGACAATCTGCTGTTCTGGGTTTGTATAGCTTCTAGAATAATGGGGTCATGGTCTATGATTAGGGTTTCTATGGTAATACAAATTAATACAAATAATATAGTAGATGTTTCATCCTTTGACTACAGAAACCTCTGAAAGACAGTACACCTGAGGCTTCACTGTTAGCAGGTTGTATAATCACTTATACTGCATCCACTTTTCACAGATGTAACACCAGGTCAGAATAGTAGCAATTTATATTTACTTTGAACAGAGATAAATGACTATTCAAACCTTAAGGCAGGGGAGGATCAGGCACAATTATTGTTTGCTTTTATTAGAGGGAGCCCTCAGTGCTTATGAGTTTGTTTTGTGTGTGTGTGCGCCAAGCAATACGAAGGCGCCTGAGATAGTGAGCTCCACAGTCCTCTCCCTTGACTAAAGGATTCCAGAAACATGTGGGAATAAATAGAAATAAAAAGACTAATGGAGAAATATTTTAAAGTAATTACTGAAAAGTAAGGAATCACTATACCTCATGACAGAGAACTATTGGCAACAGGCTGGTAAAGGAATACTTTGAAATAAATAACAACAGTTTTATGTCCCATAGGTTTCTTAAATAAAGTTCTGCCATCCACATACATACACACTTCACATCATAGGTGCATAATTACATAGCAATGAAGCTGAGAGAAAAGGAGGAGAAGTTGTTTAGTTATGTAGCATGCAATGCTGTTGAATGTTTAGATGTTATCTTTCTGGCAAATTATCCCACTGAGTACAACAGTGACTCTCACATATTTTGGACTGTGGTAAGAGACTCTTTGGGAACATCAATTAGTGTTTTAACACAATGAAATCAAGGACTTTTCAATGCTGGTGGAAGGGATGAAGCTGAGTAAATATTTGCTTTATATCAACTGGCTTGAAATTTAGGTACAGTAAACGAACCCCTAAAAATGATGAATGTTGTAAGATAATTCCCAAAGCTAAAGAAGTGAGAAGAATGAATGAGGATGGTAATGGAGAGTGGACTGATTTTTGTGTGTGGTTCTTTCCACCCCTGTGGAGAAAAAAAATAAATAAAAATCTGTTGTGCACTGTAGATGCTTACTATAATATTTCCAGTTATTTTTCTCTTGAAGAAATGCCTCAGGCAAAATGCTTGTCACCTTCTTGCTATGGTGGAGCCTTGCTTTTCTATTTGTGTCCTTTGCTACTTCAGTCTGTTGCCTGCTCACTTCTCTCAAGAATTCTTCCCTGCTTAAGAGATTTTTTACACTCAGGCTGTAAAATATAAAGAATGGGAAACCAGTGACCTTGACCTCACCATGAAAGTTTCTATGCTAACCTCAAAATATCATGGACCTGCGTGGGTGTTAGAGGGTGATGAGCACCTCTAAGGGTGGAACCCATCAGACATGGCTTTTAATAAATCCATGATTCCAAGTCAATATTTCTTGAGGTGCCTAAGGAAGTTAAGATTCCTGAGGGAGGTGTGTTGTGTAATGCTAACATTAATGGAGATTATTCTTCAGCTCAAGTAGCAGAATCCTAAACTTTTAGAAAAGGAACATCATAATCTATCC